CAGGCAAGTAATTTAAGAATTCGAAAAAAAAATACTTGAATCAAATACATTTTATACTTGATCCTAGCATAATCATAATTGTTATAAAAATCGTGGTATAAAAATCATAAAACAATGAATTTTTCATTGATATTCATCGAAAATCGAATATATAATTTCAATATACTATAATCTTATATACTTAAATCAAGTACCAAATATATCTGATTCACATTTTTTTTCTGTGAAGACTGGATTCGAAATGAGAAGTTACATAATTTAGGTACTCTGAAATGTGCAAGTGAAAATGGAGTGAAAATTTAACTCACGTCTGCCGCGGGTTTTCCACCGACGCTGATGCATTTGAGGGTGAGTTCCCGATCCTCTGTAGTAACGAGAAAATCACCCTGAAGTATTTTGGGCCTCTGAGGTGGTACAAGTATACTCAAACGTGCAAATCTCGACCTGAGTCCAGGTTGTCCATCATTGGTGGGTGAAGCCTGGCACTGATATTTCCCATCGTCCTCCAATTCCACCGGAAATATTTGCAACGAGAAATCCCCTATAACCGAAAAAAAAAACAAATAATTAAACATTAATGACATCTAGCCTCCAGCTGCATAATTACTTTTTCAAATTAAATACTAAAATTGGAATTAAAATTGAAATCTCATCCCTCACTCATTTTTTGTCCACAAGTTTGTGAGGCGGTAAGCAGCTTTAGTTCTTAAAAGGGTAAAAAATGAATAACGAGAGGGAAAAACAAAGAGATAGAATGGACTAAATTTTTTGTTTTGGTAATCCCCAGAGTAATGGCACATTCCAACGAAATTGTATCTCCCCATCACTGACATTGTGTGTGCAGTTCCCGGCGCATTTATATTATTACTGTGCGACGTACACTGCAACGAGATATACCCTCGGTCTCGTTATTAATAATAATAACGTCACCCGAGAAATGGATGATTATTTATGCAGGCGCATCAGTTCACAAGAGAGCATTCACTACCGTGTATTTTTACACTGGATGTAAAAAAAAAACTCAGTAACCTTTCAAAAATCCACGGTAGGTAAATTATAATCATTCTTCCGTACTTTTCTTTCAAGCCTGTCATATTTTTTTTTTTGTTTGAAAATTCGGGCGCATTGTGTCTACCGTAGCTACCTTGACTGACGAGTTCCATAAATTTTTTTCTATATTTATTTTTATTGTCTATTTTATTTTTTATTTTATATATTTTCACAATGGATGTCATTCACTTGATTAGTTAATCCAATTTAATTGGGATCGTTCAGCATCGGAACAGTTACGTCTTTCGCAATCAAATCAAAGGGCAAGAGGTTTTTCATTGGTTTTCCGCCATTTTATGGACCACCTCTTTAAGAATTAAAATGGTGGAAACGTAAAGTAATTCTTCTGTTCAATTGGATTATCATTGATTTTCAGGGCTGAAGCGCTAAATGTCGATGAGCATGCGCAACTGCGCAGTTTTAGAACTTAGTTCTTCACTGAAAAAGAGTCGAAATATCTCGAAACTCCCTATTGGTCAACTCGAACCGCCAAATTTAAATGCGATCCCCGGACTGCACACTAGATCTCGTATCATAGACCCACTGCGCACTCCGTGCGCCGAATTTGAATTTGGCGGTTCACGTTGACCAATGAGAAATTAGTCCTACGCGTTTCGAGATATTTCGACTCATAATAAGGACACAGAAAACACAATCGGAGATAAAGTTATGAATCGATCTTTGTCGGGTGAACATACGGAATTTGTTCATTGGGTAATTGGCACTTCCATTAGCGTAATTGCACGTAAATCATTCAGTCGAAAATATGGGAAATTAGTTGTCAATATATTCTGAAATGTAGATGCGAGTTAAATGTAAAAATAAACACGGCATGGTGTTAAAAAAATGGAAATTCAAGTCGTGAGTAAAATCCACAACATTCCCGACGACTGGGTTTCAATGAATATAAGGTAGTTATAGCTCTTCCATCGTGTACCTACTTTAACTCCCAAGTGAAATACGTCGCGTGACTCGTTGATCAGAAGACAAAAAAAAAACACCTTTGACTCTCTATCGCGGTAGCGTTACTATTAGGAGGTGAAAAATACATACATTATCATTGTTCTATTTTTCGCTTCATTCCCCCTAAGTTCTACAACTCAATGTTTTATGATAACATCATTAATGGATAAAAACAAAACGATTAGCGAGAGTAGAAAGTGATGTTTTTTTAAATAGTCAATAAGCTTTAATGAGAATACTTAGGAAATATTTTTACTAATATATTTCCTGTGAGATTTCATTATTTTTAATGTCTAGTAATTTTAACATGACGTAGCGTAGCAATAAAATTACAAAATT